TACATACAAATTACTCAGAAATGTATACAAGTTACTTGGTAAGTAATAAATTAAATTAAAATTTTGTAGGAATAGTTCTCATTTCATATATATCCTTCTATATAAGCTATAATAAGTACATTAAATAGCCATATGTCCGAACTAACGTACAAATGAATATTCAATTATGTCTGATTCAAGCATTCAAATTGTTGTGAGCAGTGAGCAAATGACTGCTAAAGTTTAATCTATTTTATGAAATGGAGGAAAGGCGCCAAATGATGAAATATTTTCAAGGGAGGCGTAGTAACATCAAGTTTGGAAACCACTGATCTAAATCGTTCGGTAATTGGCTTATTATTCGACGCGATTAAATTCCACGTCAGGGCAAATCAGCGCGTACAAACGCAAAAGTGATTACAGCATAAGCCGATTTTTTGTTTGTTTGTTTCCTCTTTCTCTCTGAGTATTCGGCGGGAATTGCGTTCGGCCGCGGAAATAAATTGCATTTCCGACCGATGCCCGAAAGTGTTTATTTCCGAAAGCCGCAGGAATTAATCGAAAACTGATCCGAAACGAGGAATTATTAAACATTAAATAGAATACAACAACAAAAACAAGAAAAAATAAATAAATTGAAACCAGAGATTGTGGAGACCAGATGAAACCGTCGACATTACTACCTGTTTATAATGGGTGATTTTTCGGGATGGCGCAAAAGTAATTCGGACGGAGATTACATTTACGCGAATTATTTTACGAGCCTGAAGATGAAATCCCCCCCACGCGAAGATCCGTGCAACAGCAGCAGGTTTTACGCGTGGATTACAGCCGTAATTAATTATATCAGCCGTTGAAAAAATATGAGTTATTGGTAATTTTAGTAAGATAAAAATATATTTATAATCATACATTCAATGAAGCACGTTTTCTTGATAAATTAATCAAAAGAATGTTACTTAACCGGGGTAAATTACCCAAAATGGGGTAAAAATGATTTTTTTTGGGTAATTTTTCTAATTTCATCTTACCAAACTCAGAGAGCGGTTTTCTGACTACTTTTCAGATCTTGATGTACAAACTGTGAATTGGGTTGTAGATCCTTTTAAATGTGAAATTACTAACATACCAGAAGAACCTCAAGGTTTGGCAGAGGCCATTCTTAAACTTCGATCCAATACTGAAGCACGTTTTCAATTTAAGACCAAAGCAAATCTGCCGTCTTTTTGGTAAAAAAATTGCTGCCATTTGCAACAACCTACCTATGTGAACAAGACTTTTCCAGAAAACATACAAACGAAAAACAGAAATCGATTAAACGCCGAAGACTGTATTCAAATTGCTCTTAAATCAAAAAGTCCCAATTTTAAAGTAATTATATCAAACATGAAGCAACATCATTTTTCCAAAACCTGAAGGGGAAAAGTTTTCAATTAATTTTTGTTTGTTCCAATTTAAGAATTTTATTTTGTTTGTCAATTAATATTTGTTACTATTTTCATGTAACTTTTTTTTATAAATATGTAAATGTAAATTAATTCAATAATAATATTTATTTAAAATTTACATTGATTGTTTTCTTTTCAGAATGAGTGGGGGTTATATCGACTTACGCAATAATATTTTGGGGTAATTGTTAAAAAAGTTCCCCGACCGCTGCTCTATAATGATCAAAGTTTAAAAAACAACTTTCTAATTGCAATTATTATTGATTATTAGGACTTCAGTATGCATTGTGCTAGTGACTTAAAAGCAACATCGTAAACAAGACAAAGTCAAAAGAAATAGAGTTTTCTTACAAAACTTGTATGGAATAAAATAGAAGATTTGCGATTTATTTTTTAGGAAAATTCCTTTTTCCTTTCGCGCCGCATCGTCGCTCGCCGATAATTTCCGTTAATTACAACGCAAATATTAATTAATTACAATTGATTTCATATTATGAGCGCACTCCCATCGATATTCCTCTGCGTCCACTGCACACAACTACTGAATGCTGCAGAGCTATGTGTGTGTTTGTGTGTGTATCTATTTGTCGAATCAAAATTATCAATAATTCATATAACTGGCCATTATTTCATAAAAGCCCCGGCATTAACGCGAAAGCACTAATTGCAAATTTGCAAATATATTTCAAATCCCCCCGCATATCATTCGGACTCCATGCATGTAGAAAACAAACAGACGACGCGACGGGTTTTAGAATTAATAACGTTCGTATGCATATCGCACACTCCCACACGCTCATATACTGAAATACAGCAGTATATACTGAAATACGGTATAATCTTTCCGCAGTTTCAGTTTTTCATTACTGAAAAACACACACACACACACACACCAAAAAAATATGCGATGAAAGGCTGTGAACTTACGGGCAGATCTTCTCCAGGTCCGCTTTGCTCGTTGCGAACGTCAGGCCCGAATCAGTGAACACCGAAATCGGCTTCGCGCATTGGACCAATTGATCTTGACCGCAGGATCCAGTCTGATGACCTCTGATTCTCGTCGTAATCACTGAAAGCAAAGGAATAAGGTATTAATTGAACGAACGGACGTTGAACATTGCTACAATCCTCGAGCAGTAAATTGCACATAAATTAACACCCACCTAAGAAGAATTTTCAATTAAATCATTGAAAGTAATCAAATTAATTATTAATTTAATTTCGATAAAGAATTTGATCAAATCTTTGTTTCAATTCGTTTCTTGTATTTCAACTGGTCGAAAATGAAAGTCGTTACGGGAATCACCTTTAATTATCCTTGCGCGCCGAAAAATAATAAATAATCGAAACCCGACGCGTTTCCTGATCCGGGTGGCTTTGCAATTCCCATAAAAGTCGACCTTTAATTACTTCAGATATATTTGTTTCGTTACGGCTTTTTTTTCTTTTCTTTCTTTTTTTTTGCAGCGCGCTCTGGATTTATAACCTTTTCAATTAAAAGTCGCCTTATTTAAATTGCAAAAGACACAATTATATTTTTTTCCCCGTTCGACGACGACGGAAATATTCTAAAATTTTTAATAAAGCATTTAAATGAACTCTTACATTTATTTATTTTTTTGCTTTTTCTTTGTTTGTTAAGAAGTTTTCCTTATTGAAGTAGAATAATTTTAATACGATTTTCTTCTACAATTAAGTTTATTGCGAGTCAATCGTATATAAATAATGCCAACAAAATTCGAAGTTAATTGCTTTATACAAGGTGGCGCAAAAGTAATGTCATAATTTGAATTGGCTGTCATTCTTGCAGATGGCGCCGAATGTCACTGTGCTTTGACATTTATGATGTAGATGAATTTATTGTTACTGCTTATTTGACAAATTTTCAGTCTATTGTTTTAACTTAACGTGAATGAGCGATGAAGGCTATTTCCACTTAAGTGGTTATGTTAAAAACAAAATTTACAGGCATATGCTAAACGATTTTTTTTGCCACAAGTTGCTGTATTGGGTCTCGTTCATTGTTGGTTTCAACCGCTCACACAGCTCGGGAAACATTACTTTTGCGCCACCTTGTATAATGACAATAACTACATTTAATGAAATAAACATGCAATTACGTCAATAAATATAGGATGCAACATATTATCTAAAAAAGAACTTTTTGCATTTCGTAAAGTTAAAGTCCTCTCATCAATAAGTAAAGACGTATTTCATTGATTTTGGGACAATTAGTGAAGGATTAATTACGATATAGATACATGGGTTTCTTTGATTTTTCTAAAAAAAAAGCAAATATCTGTCATGAAAATCAATGAAATCATCAAACCAAGTCTTTAAATAACTGAAGTAATCCATTCTATTTCGGACAATTAGTGAAGAATGAATTATTCGGATAAATTGAAGTGTTGAGGTGTTTCTTCATCCTTCTAAAACGCTTACGCAGATTTTTCTAAAATTAATTTATCTGTTAAAAAAAAACATGATTTTTTGCATTTTTTTAAATTCTATCGGAAAAGACGTTTTTCATTGATTTTGGGACAATTAGTGAAGGATTAATCAGGATTGAATTTGGAACAATTAGTCAATAATTAATAAGATAGGAGACTTGAGAATTGCTTTTACATCATCCTTCAAAAAACGCCTACGCGGATTTTTCTAAAATTATTTATTCTGCCATCAAAGTCTACAGTCATCTGATAGAATTAATGCATTGATTCTTTTTTTTTGGGACAATTAGTGGTGAGTTAATAACGCGGATAAATTGGAAACGGTCGTAGAGATTCGAGCAACGGATTTTCCTCTTCATCCCTCCGAATCGTCTTCACGGCTCAGGTGATTGATGGTCGGCGGCGTGACACGCGGAGGTTATGTAATCGCACACAGACACACATATTTACAGGACCAATTTTTTTCCTTCGTCCTTCATCCATTCGTTTTTCCACTTTTACTCTCCTCTCTCGCCATTTCTTTTTCTTTCATTCACTCTTCGTCCTTTCGCGCGGCGATGGGTCGTGATTGTTGAGACACGAAATGAAGTTGGAGACGTGCGAAATGGTTCGTCCCGTCCTCAATTTTTTTTCTTTCTTTATATTTATCGCGCCCGACGGGGACGAAAATGAGTTTGAGGTTTTCTGGGTGGAATGAGAGAATGGGAGAAATTGAGTTTAATTGGTTTCGAGGTGAATGGACCAACGAGAAAAGGGACCCCAAAAAAAAAAAACATAATGAAAAATAAATAAGAGTATGCTGACAAGTTATGATTCTTGTTATCTGCGTGTCTGAGAGTTGTATTTATTTATTTTTCTCTTTAGTCTCACCAATTCCAAAATGAAATAATAATAAAAAGAAACGGAATTGAAGAGATAAATAATGCAGACAACAAGGGCCTAAATATTGAAGCATTTTCATTAGAAAATTTAAATATTTATTTTCATTTCTCTTTAATACAAAGAACATTTGGAAATGTGAAATAAATAGTAGCAATTATATAATTCTTTCAGAAAACTTAACACTTCATTCATAATTTCTAATGAACATTGCTTTTGTTTAGTTATTGTTGGAGTAAATAAGATGAATTCGCAATCTGTAATGCTACACGCAGTTCCTGTTTGGGAAGAAGCAATGATGGTAAAAAGCTATAGAAGATTGCTTGAAACTGTCCAGCGTAAGAGTGCAATTAGGATATGTAGTGCATACAGGACAATCTCAAGAGATGCTGTAAAAGTAATAGCAGGAATGCCACCTATAGAACTACTTGCCACAGAAAGAAAAGAGACAGACTGTGGCAAAGATGACAAACTTCAGAGAAGTGCCAGAGTATGGACTAGAAGACTCATCCCAGAAATCAAAGCATGGATTAATAGAAACCACGATGAAGTAACTTTACATTTGACACAGGCGCTTTCTGGACAAGGATGTTTCAGTAAATATCTCCACTTCATCGCGAAGAAGGAGGACGATAAGTGCTGGTATTGCGAGGATAATGACAACCCGGAGCATACGTTATTCAGTTGCTGCAAGGAAGCTGGTAACTGAAGCTGTTCTAACCCCGCAGAGTTTTGTCAGTGAACTGATGAAAAGTAGCGACAAATCAAACGTAATTGCAAGGTATGTGTTAGATGTACTCTCTACAAAGGAAGAGGATCAGAGGAGAATGGAGAGAGAAAAAGGTAGTGGAAGCCAACACTGATATAGACTAACAAGTGAGACAATCAAGATTTGAGAGCAGTATCAACAAACAGGACCTGAATGCTGACGAAGAAGAGAGGTTTTTAGTAGGTAAGAATCCCACAGTACCACGAATTCAGCGTTTTTATGCAAGGTTTTCCTTAAGATCAATTCGTGTAAAAGCTTTGACAAATCATAATAGACAAATGTGTGGATGTACGTTTTACTATTAGTATTACTAAGAAGATTTCCAATGATTGTTAACCTAATGGGAATTAGGAAAACAGAAAATATGAAATTATTATTACTACTAAAGATTCATTTATTAACTAATATTGTTGTTTTTTTTTTCTAAGAATGGATTTAATTAATATAGTGAGTTGACTGAGACTAAGTAAAATCAATTCTAGTAAAAGCTTTGATTATGTACGCTTTACTATTAGTATTACTAATAAAGAGAGAGAAAGTGAGATTTCCAATGATTGTTAACCTAATGGGAATTAGGAAAACAGAAAATGTGAAATTGTAATTACTAATAAAGATTCATTTTTTAGTTATTTTTGGGGTTTGTTTTTTAAGAATGGATTTAATTAATATAGTGAGTTGACTGAGACTAAGTAAGATCAATTCGAGTAAAAGCTTTGATTATGTACGCTTTACTATTAGTATTACTAATAAAGAGAGAGAGAGAGAGAGATTTCCAATGATTGTTAAAATAATGGGAATTAGTAAAACAGAAAATGTGAAATTATAATTACTAATAAAGATTCATTTTTTAGTTATTGTTGGGGTTTTTTAAGAATGGATTTAATTAATATAGTGAATTGACTGAGACTAAGTAAAATCAATTCGAGTAAAAGCTTTGATTATGTACACTTTACTATTAGTATTACTAATAAAGAGAGAGATTTCCAATGATTGTTAAAATAATGGGAATTAGTAAAACAGAAAATGTGAAATTGTAATTATTAATAAAGAATCATTTTTTAGTTATTGTTGGGGTTTCTTTTTTAAGAATGGATTTAATTAATATAGTGAGTTGACTGAGACTATGTAAAACCAATTCGAGTATAAGCTTTGATTATTTATGCTTTACTATTAGTATTACTAATAAAGAGAGAGAGAGAGATTTCCAATGATTGTTAACCTAATGGGAATTAGGAAAACAGAAAATGTGAAATTATAATTACTAATAAAGATTCATTTTTTAGTCATTGTTGGGGTTTCTTTTTAAGAATGGATTTAATTAATATAGTGAGTTGACTGAGACTAAGTAAAATCAATTTGAGTAACAGCTTTGATTATGTACGCTTTACTATTAGTATTACTAATAAAGAGAGAGATTTCCAATGATTGTTAACCTAATGGGAATTAAGAAAACAGAAAATGTGAAATTATAATTACTAATAAAGATTCATTTTTTATTTATTGTTGGGCTTTCTTTTTTAAGAATAAATTTAATTAATATAGTGAGTTCACTAAAACTACGTAAGATCAATTCGAGTAAAATGTACGCTTTACTATTAGTATTACTAATAAAGAGAGAGAGAGAGAGATTTCCAATGATTGTTAACCTAATGGGAATTAGGAAATCAGAAAATGTGAAATTGTAATTACTAATAAAGATTCATTTTTTAGTTATTATTGGGGTTTCTTTTTAAGAATGGATTTAATTAATGTAGTGAGTTGACTGAGACTAAGTAAGATCAATTTGAGTAAAAGCTTTGATTATGTACGCTTTACTATTAGTATTACTAATAAAGAGAGAGAGAGAGAGATTTCCAATAATTGTTAACATAATGGGAATTAAGAAAACAGAAAATGTGAAATTGTAATTACTAATAAAGATTCATTTTTTAGTTATTGTTGGGGTTTCTTTTTTAAGAATAGATTTAATTAATATAGTGAGTTGACTGAGACTAAGTAAAATCAATTTGAGTAAAAGCTTTGATTATGTACGCTTTACTATTAATATTACTAATAAAGAGAGAGAGAGATTTCCAATGATTGTTAACCTAATGGGAATTAAAAAAAACAGAAAATGTGAAATTGTAATTACTAATAAAGATTCATTTTTTAGTTATAGTTGGGGTTTCTTTTTTAAGAATGGATTTAATTAATATAGTGAGTTGACTGAGACTAAGTAAAATCAATTTGAGTAAAAGCTTTGATTATGTACGCTTTACTATTAGTATTACTAATAAAGAGAGAGAGAGAGAGATTTCCAATGATTGTTAACCTAATGGGAATTAAAAAAACAGAAAATGTGAAATTGTAATTACTAATAAAGATTCATTTTTTAGTTATTGTTGGGGTTTCTTTTTAAGAATGGATTTAATTAATGTAGTGAGTTGACTGAGACTAAGTAAAATCAATTCGAGTAAAAGCTTTGATTATGTACACTTTACTATTAGTATTACTAATAAAGAGAGAGAGAGAGAGAGTTCCAATGATTGTTAACCTAATGGAAATTAGGAAAACAGAAAATGTGAAATTATAATTACTAATAAAGATTCATTTTTTAGTTATTGTTGGGGTTTCTTTTTTAAGAATAGATTTAATTAATATAGTGAGTTGACTGAGACTAAGTAAAACCAATTCGAGTATAAGCTTTGATTATGTATGCTTTACTATTAGTATTACTAATAAAGAGAGAGAGAGAGTTCCAATGATTGTTAACCTAATGGGAATTAGGAAAACAGAAAATGTGAAATTGTAATTACTAATAAAGATTCATTTTTTAGTTATTGTTGGGGTTTGTTTTTTAAGAATGGATTTAATTAATATAGTAAGTTGATTGAGACTAAGTAAGATCAATTTGAGTAAAAGCTTTGATTATGTACGCTTTACTATTAGTATTACTAATAAAGAGAGAGAGAGATTTCCAATGATTGTTAACCTAATGGGAATTAGGAAAACAGAAAATGTGAAATTATAATTACTAATAAAGATTCATTTTTTAGTTATTGTTGGGGTTTCTTTTTAAGAATGGATTTAATTAATATAGTGAAATGACTGAGACTAAGTAAAACCAATTCGAGTATAAGCTTTGATTATGTACGCTTTACTATTAGTATTACTAATAGAGAGAGAGAGAGAGATTTCCAATGATTGTTAACCTAATGGGAATCTCTTAAGAATAGATTGCAAATTACATGGGGCGTTAAATAACACGGAAAAGCAAGAAAAAAAAAACTAAGGGAACGTTGAATGGATATAATGTAATTCTGGACACGAATCTTGTTCTTGCAAGAGAAGCGAAGAAGATCCGATTTGCATATTTATCGTGCGGAGTGTGTGCATGTAAAAATTAATGAATGGTTCTTCCGCAGCCAATTAGATTCGGCGGTTTCGGGCCGCAGAAGACGTAAATTGCGGGTGAGCCTCGACTCTGGAGGGGGGGGGGGAGGGCGAAACCAACTAACTGCTGTTACGTAATATCAGATCGCATTATCCGAGCCGTTTAAGGATATATCACGTGATGCGGAATCGATTCGCGCCGATTTTTACGTTACACGATTTGCATGTTTATTAACGAGCATCATTAATGCTGAAAGGGTGAAATAAAAGAACAGGAAGAGTTCACATAAACATAGAGTTGAGAGAGAAAGAGAGAAGGGAATCGATTGAAGCCCAGGTGTGTAACTCGTCGAGTGGCAAATTGGATCGCAGCAGCCTGCGCTCCCAAGTTCAACTTTGATTCAAATCCGCGGCAAATTGGAAATTTTTACAATATTTTATTATCCGCTCAATATACAAAAATATACACGTGCACACAGATACGTACATAACACAATCGGGATTTGCTTGGAAGAGAAGCCGAGATCTCAGCTCTTCGTTTTTCCCTTCGAAATAGAAGGGATATATTCTCTTTGTCGATGCCGACGACGCATCGTACACTTTCGACGCTTCGCTTTCTTATTTATATAAGTGAAATAATATTGAGTTATGTGTGCGAACGAACACCAAACTTTAATAACAGTTTGATTTTATCTCGGGGCGTTCCTTCTCTTCGCGAAGGAGTGGAACAAGTTGCAGTCGCAGAAAGGCTTCTCCTCCTTACATCCTTCTTCAGCCGCGAAAAACTTTTGATTGGAATCGAATCGAATGAAGCCGAAGCAAGCGAAGCAACTCATTCCATTCCAAAAAACCCACACTCCCACGAACCCTCAAAAACCTTGCGAATAATTTGCATTCCGTTACAATTTTCGGGGCATAATTAAAGTCTGTTGCTGGCGTATCTTTCACTTAAGGGGGGGAGGGCGCGCGCTCTGATGAAGACACATAACAAGCGCACTCTACCCTCTCCAAGAAAACACCCCCGCGGGTTTTGAAACGTGACGTTTTTACTACGCGGATTAAAGCAGGATCTTCTCTCAACTATTCTCTATCTTCCTTTCTATATCTTCGTCTGCTACTACAAACACGCACATCGAGACAGAAGTTCCCCGCAACGATAATAATAATAATAAAGTAATTGTATCCAGAAATGCAGCACTTCTATCCACATCTCTCTCTCTCTATCTCTAATTTTCTCCCTCGCTCGTTCCATTTAATTGGAATTGAATTCGCACAATGCCAGGGCTTTTCGCTAATTATTATTTACATCCGCAGCGCCGACGGCGATCACCGCAAAAGGTGGAAAGCTAAACGGAATTACCCCGCAATTAATATACTTTATACGAACGATTCCTTCATTCGCTCCTCGTCATCCACTCGCAGCAACAATCATTAATTTAAACTCATCCACCTGCCACGTTCAAATTCCCTCGGGAAGAGATCCTTCCAACTACCATAACATTTTAATCTCAATCTTCATCCACACAATTCAAATTCCTAGACGAGTTTCAATAACTGCATCACAGTTT